TATTTTTTCTTGTTTATCTTTAGGTTTTTGTTCAGTTGTTTTCAATTATGTTCAACACTTTATGTGATCCCATTTGGGGTTTTCTTGGCAGATACTAGCGTTGTTTGCTATTTCCTTCTCCAGCTCCTTTTACAGATGAGAAGGAAACTGAGGCAAACAGGATTAGGTGATTTGCCCTGGGTCACACAGCTAGTAATTTTCTTAGGCTAGATTTGAGCTCAGGAAGATGAATCTTGATTTCAGGCCTGGCACTCTTTCCACTGTACCATCTAGCTGCCTCTGCTCTCTTGCTTAGCGTTGTCTCCATCTGAGAAGGATGCATTGAGATCCCCAACTTATAATTTTACTATTTCTCCTTGCATTTGGTTAATGATTTGCCATTTAGTTCATATAGTCATTTGGCCTTCAATTGGGGAATGGCTAAACAAGTTATGGTATATGATTGTGATGGAATACTATTGTGCTATAAGAAATGATGAGCTGATTTAAAAAAACAAAACAAAACATGCAAAGACTTGCTTGAAATAATGAAAAGTTAAATGAACACTACCAAAAGAACGTTGTATGTAGTAACAGAAATATTGTCCTTAGAGCAACTTTGAATGACTGGTTCATCTTGAATATCATAAATACGCAAACCAACTACAAAGGACTTATGAAGGAAGATGATGTCTACCTCCAGAGGAAGAAACTGAGAAGTAGAAATATGTGTAGTATGGTTTTATGTGTATGTGTGTGTGTGTGTGCGTGCGCGCGTGATTAATTATAGCCTTCTCTAGGGTGGTGTAGAGAGGGAGGGAGAAAAAATAGTGCATAGCAGAGAACAAAAAAAAACTTAGAAGAAGCACAGAAAAACAGGGTAGCTTTGAAAAGAATGTGTAGTATTTGCTACATAGTTTTTCAGAAAAAGTAAACAGTCTGATCATGGTTTTATATTGAATCCTATCTATATGCTGTACTGTTTACATGGAAATGTTCTTTTTTTGTTTCTTTATATTTAAGTTCAAGATGAATTACAAATTTAAAAAAGTTTTGTTCTATACTTAAGGACCAAAAAAGAGAATTTCCTTATATAGAACCCCCTCCCCCAATGATTGTATGTGAAACTGTGAATCTCAATTTCATACTGTTTACCTAAAAAAAAAAAATCTGTGATAATTTCATGTTACTTTTAAAGCTCAATTGCTTGTCTATGCTTCCTTCTGAACTTCTTTCCAATGCATTTCATTTATTTTTCTTTTCATTCAGCAACATTTATTAAGTTGACTATTGGAGAGTATATAGAAGTAAATAAAGTGCAATAATTTACCTCAAGGAATCTGTAGTCTAATAGGAGAGATAATATATAAACACATCATACAAATTTCAAAAAGGATAAAAATACTATGAAGTGTTATGAGGTCAGAGGCCTTCTTGTACATTTTTAAAAAAATGTTTCAAGGGCCCACTTTTTTTTTTTTTTTTGCATCAATATTGTTAATCCTCTCCTCCTAATTGTCCACGCCCCCTGTCCCCCATTAAAAACTGAACAGAAAAAAAATCACTTCTAGTAAATGTTAATTGTTAGGCAGAATGCATCTATACAGTGTCATGTCCAAGAATGTAAATCTTTTTCTGAACCCTGTGTCTGTTACCTCTTTGTTAGGAGCCAGAATACTTGCTTCGTTATAAATACCCTGGAAATAGAGTTGGTTTTTGCTTTGATCAGTGTTCATAAGCTTTCAAAGTTTTGTTTATGTATAAATTGTTCTCTTGATTCTGCTTAATTCACTCAGCCTAAGTTCACATTAGCAAGCATTGTTTGAAATAGTCTCTTTTCTTGTGGCACAGTAATATTCCATGATATTCATGTACCACAGTTTGTTCAGCTGTTTTCCAGTTGTATAAGGGGTTTAGTATCCCCTTAGATTCTACTTTTTCTTTTCTTTCCCCTCCTTTTTTTAAGTCTCCCTTTAGGATCAAGTTTGTTTTGCTTTCCCTGCTTGCTATTATTTTTCACTCTACCCATCTTCTCCTTATCTTTTCTTGTTTGTTGAGTTTGACATATTTTTACAGCATACAGGGTGTGCATATGTATTTTTAATGAAATTCATGTAGTTCCTACTCCTTCCACCTATTTTTCTATTATAGTATATTCTTCTCTTCATGTACCCCCTTATGAGAAATAGCACATTATAGCTACTTCTTCCTCCTTTCAACATTAGTGTATTACTCTTTTTAGTATCTCTTGTCTTTCCTTTCTTAATACCCTCAGAATAGAGCTGATCTACCACCAGGATTTTTCTTGATTTACTCTTGATTTACCCTTTAAAGATGTTAAGGTGAAGGAACATTTGTTTTTTCTTCTCCTATTAGAATGTTAGCATTATATCACATACAGTTCATTCCAGCTTTTCAAATAAATGTATATTTCTGGGTTTCTCCGAACTCTTGTGTTTGAATTTTAGAATTCTTACTCAGCTTTGGGCTTTTAATCACAAATGCTTGAAAGTCCTCAATTTCATTAAAAATCATTTTCTCCCCTGTAGGATTATACCCAGCTTTTCAGGGTAAGTTATTGTTGGTTTTAAGCTTTTGACTTTTGGATGGCATTTTCTCTGATTTTTAGTAGAAGTTGCCAGGGCTTGTGTGTGATCCTGATTGTCCTTCCTTGGTACTTGAACTACTACTTTCTGGATGGTTGCATTGTTTTTTCTTTGACTTGGGAGCTTTGGATTTGGGCTACGACATTGTTGGTACTTCTTTTACATTTCTTTTTGGGAGATCATCGGTAAATTTCTTTCCATCTTTATTTTGCCCTCTGATTTTACTAGATCTGAGCAATTTTCATTGATCATTTCTTTAAATATGGCATCCAGGCATTTTTTTTAGACCATTGTTTTCAAGGAGTTCATCTGGGAGTCTGATGATTCCTAAATTATTACTGCTTGACTTGTTTTTCAGGTCAGATTTTAAAATATCTGTTTTGTTCTATATTTTCAGTCTTTTAATTTTGTTGTAATATTTATTGCTATCTCTTTGGTATGTTCTAATTATTAGGGGGTCTATTACTTGGATAAGATTTATCACTTTCTCTTCTAGTTATTTATTCTCCTAATTATTTCCTCCAGAGTTTTTAGTTTTTGATCTTTTGCTCCGTTTTCTTTGGGTGCTATTCATATAGTCCTTTTGGGAAATCCTCTTTTCCTTTGAGTGTCTGCTTGCTGATGTTGCAGTTAATTTTTTTTATAAAAACATTTTTATTTAATGTATTGAGTTCCAAATTCTATTCCTCCCTGTTTCCCTCCCCTCCCCTCTCCCTGAAATGGTAAGCAGCTTATACATGTGCAATTATGTAAAACATTTCCATATTAATCATTTTGTAAAAGAAAGAAAAAAAATGAAAGAAAGTGAAAAATAGCATGCTTCAGTCTATTCAATCAGTATCAGTTCTTTCTCTGGAGGCAGATAGTATGCATTATCATTAGTCGTTTGAGATTGTCTTGAATCATTGTATTGCTGAGAATAGCTAAGTCATTCATAGCTGATCAAACAATATTTCTGTTACTGTGTACAATGGTCCCCTGGTTCTCTTTGCCTCAGTGTTGCAGTTACTTTTGCCTTCTTTTGGGGCTTCTCTAGATTCACAACAAATTTTGGTACTGATTGTCTTCTTTAATTTACTTTAATTTAGTCTGGGTTCTGTACTTCACAATTGGGGCTTTGTGCCAGAGCTAGCCTTTGCGCCCTCATTGCTTTTGAAGGTAATTGTAGACCCTGTATAATCTCATCCTTGGTCCCCTGGGTGCCTGGACTGATCTTTACCTCCCAAAAGTTAGGTTCCATGGATTTTTGATGTTCAGAGTGCTGGATCCTTAAGACCTTCCCTAGTTTCTAAAGGCAGAATGTTAGAGACCTTAGAGCCCTTGGATCTGGAGTGCTGAATGCTTCCATGTTGCAGTAGTTACTGGTACTTCCTCAGGCTTCTGAGATCCCCTCATTAGGGCTTTGTGACAATACTGGGACTTTGATCTCCCTGAGTCTTAAGGTCCCTTTACTCTTATTGCTTCTGGGCTTAGAGTCCTTCCAGCTATATGTGTCTTTGATCACTCTGGGAGGCTGTCATTTTGTTTGCCTGTGCTCATGCTAGCTTAGCTGGTGGACCACCTTTCTGTGGGTTTCTGGTAGAATTTTTGTATAGTTCTGTCACTGAAGAAGTCACAGTCATTTCTTAATGCGCGCTTTGTTTTTATTTCTCTTTCCTCCAGTCAGTCCACTGTTTAACTTCCAAAAGTTAAGACCTTTATAAGTTTTTTTTTTCTGAAATCAACAATGTCACCTCTTGCTGAAAAAATTCACTCACTCCTTCTTGCTCCTTGGCTAAAATACAAATTCTATTGTCTTTCACCATCATACTTCAATGTAATTTTTCCTGCCTTTTTGCCCTTGAGTTATTCCCTTTCTTTTTTTTAAAATTAATTTATTTTGAATTATCAACAATCATTTCCATAAGCTTTTGAGTTTTAAATTTTTCTCCCCCTCCCTCCCCATCTCCCTCCCTAAGATGGCATGCAGTCTGATGTAGGCTATACATATACATCTTAATGAATTTCTTGACCATTATTTGGTATGAATATCAGATTTTTGCTAGTGTAGGTAAGTGGGTGCTTCCTGTTCTGGTAGCCATCTGGGAGTCCAGGTCAACTTTTTTTTTAAAGATAGAGAAAGATTAAATTAATGTTAGGAAAATGTGTGAAGAAGTAAATAAAATGCTAGGCAGTTCTTGAATGAGTATTCAAGACTGCAGTCTCTATTAATTTCTGACTTATGACAATAAATTATTCTTGAACAACTTGTCCTACTACTATTAGTTTAACTAAAAGTAAAAATTACCCAAGTTGCCTAACTTAGCCACATTATTATAAAATAAAAACACTAAATCTTTATATTACTAACTAAATTCCCTATGTAGCAAATGAAAATATTCTTATAGGACTTTTATTTCTGTCTTATTTTGTTAGGTATAATAAGGATGTGTCTCTCTCTTACTGGAACCCCTATTGGATGCTGCCCTCTGATGTTTGTGGAATGAACTGCTTTTGGGAAGCCACTTTTAGGTAGGAACTTATTATTTAAGTAGTAGCTCAGAGTAGGTAAGAGCAGATAATAAAAACCAGTACTATAGAAGAGAATTATTTTGATAGTTTTTCTTCCCAGTAACTTAACATTTTCCTTGAAGTATAGTTAACAATTTTTCTGGTTTAGCTATCTCTATTCTCTCTCTTTTTTTCTTTGCTCTTTAAATTCAGCAAATTTTTGGTTCCTGTTAAGTATAAAACATGTGAAGTACTGGGGTTACGGTGATGTAACAGATAAAGCTTATTAAAATTGTTATTTTTGTTATTTAATTAATAGATCCGTCAGTGTTTACCATGAGTAAAATATTCTGCTGAATTCTCAAGTAATACTAGAAAGACAGACTCTGCTTTAGAAATTTATAATCTTAGATGATACAGATATGGAACACATAATGAGATGCAAATATATAATACTTATCTCTATTTTTTTTAAATATCAAGGTTTTTTTGGTTCAGGTAGTCATCTCATGGTACTATTTGAAACAAATGAGTACTAACAACACATTCAGTAAACATAGAGCAATATAAAGCATTGCTTTACAGAGTGCATCAGGATTTAGTGCATTTGTGTCCTAAAAGTGCATCCATATAAATGGTATGCAAGTAAATAATCATACACAGCAGACCAAAAGAAAAAACAAAGCTGACTAGCTATAATAAGATAAATTAATAAAGAACAAATATAAATATAATCATTAGTACGTATACAAATGAACAGCAACTAAATCCATTCATAGTAACTATAATACATAACCATAAGACAAACATAATTGCAAAGTAATAAAACAGAAGCATAACTTAAGAATGCAACAATTAACATCTACATTGATAAAGAATTATAATTATGGCAAAGTCTCTGGCATTGTCACTTGAGAGTAAGGACTGTATGTTTATTTATCTATTCTATCTTGCCATATCCATCCCACCTTTCTATCTATCTATCATCTCTTTTTCTCTGCCTTTTTTTCTATAGTACTTAGCTCATAGTAAGCACTTAGTAAATGCTCATTGACTCACTGACTTACTATCTCCTTCCTAAGATTAAAAAAACACATACTTTGGTAGGCACATACCAAGGATTTGCTGCTGATTATGTTTTCCAAATGAATAGAATAAGTTGGTAATACTTTTCTTTGCACATACTTGGTACAAGTCTCACACATCTTTGTGTCATATTCTGCCATCTTGGGCCATTACATTCTATTTCTTATGAGTTCCAGGATCCTTTCTCAGTCCACATGTCAGAAAATGTAATGCTTTCAAGACCATAGAGAAAAATATTATGGTTAGACATTGCCACACTATGCTAACCATAACTATCTGCTGGTACAATGCATGGAATGAGGGACTTTCTGCCATTGTGTCAACTATAAGGTGCTAGAAGTAACAGGAACTTGAGTTCTTTCACATCGCTCCCTGACTTCTTGGCTTGTATAACTCTTCACATACCTTCATCAGCTGTCTACTTCCTTTTTTTTCTTTTTTCTTTTTTTTTTTTTTTAAGATTATCTTTATCCTTTAATGAGAAATAAGTTCTCCCAGTTGGGTGGGGTCCCACCCAAGATTGAGGAGAATGTTTTTTTTTTTAATTTATTTTTAGTTTTCAACATTCACTTCCATAAGCTTTTGAGTTTTAAATTTTCTCCTTTCCCTCCTTGACCCCTCCCCAAGATGACGTGCAATCTAATATAGGCTCTACATATACATTCCCATTAAATGTATTTTCACATTGGTTTTGTTTTAAAGAAGAATTAAAACCAATAGGAGGAACCATAAGAAAAAGAAACAAAACAAAACAGAAGAAAAAAAAAGCAAATAGTATGCTTTGATCTGTATTCAGACTCTATAGTTCTTTCTCTGGATATGGATAGCATTTTCCATCATGAGGCCTTTGGAAATGTCTTAGATCCTTATATTGTTGGGAAGGGTTAAGTTTATCAAGATTAGTCATCACACAACATGGCTGTTATTGTGTACATTGTTATCTTGGTTCTGCTCACTTCACTCAGCATCAGACCATACAAGTCCTTCCAGATTTTTCTGAAGTCAGCCTGTTCATCATTTCTGTTCATCACAGTAGTATTCCATTACATTCATATACCACAACTTGTTCAGCCATTCCCCAGTTGACAGGCATCCTCTCAATTTCTAATTCTTTGCCACCACAAAAAGAGCTGCTATGAATATTTTTGTACATGTGGGTCCTTTTCCCATTTGTATGATCTCTTTGGGATATAGCGCTAGAAGTGCTGTTGCTGGGTCAAAGGGTATGCACATTTTTATAGCCCTTTGGGTATAGTTCCAAATTGCTCTCCAAAATGGTTGGATCATTTCACAACTCCACCAACAATGCGTTGTTTTCCAATTTTCCCACATTTTCTCCAACATTTATCATTTTCCTGTTTTGTCATGTTGGTCAATCTGATAGATGTGATGTGGTACCTCAGAGTTGTTTTGATTTGTATTTCTCTAATCAATATTGATTTAGAGCATTTTTTCATATGATTATAGATGACTTTAATTTCTTCATCTGAGAACTACCTGTTCATATCCTTTGACCATTTATCAGTTGGGGAATGACTTGTATTCTTATAAATTTAACTTAATTCTCTATGTATTTTAGAAATGAGGCCCTTATTAGAGATATTGGTTGTAAAAATTCTTTCCTAATTTTCTACTTTCCTTCTAATCTTGGTTGCATTGGCTTTGTTTGTGCAAAAACTTTTCAATTTAATGTGATTAAAATTATCCATTTTGCATTTTGTGATGTTCTCTATCTCCTATTTGGTCATGAATTCTTCTGTTCTCCATAAATCTGATAGGTAAACTGTCCTAAATTCTTAAGAATTGTTTTAGATCATCATGTCACTGAGAAGAGATGTCATTCACAGTTGATCATTGTACACTGTTGCTGTTACTGTGTACATTGTTCTCCTGACTCTGCTCACTTTACTTTGCATCAGTTCATGTAAGTCTTCCAAGGTATTTCTGAAACCACCTTGCTTGTCATTTCTCATAGTACAGTAATATTCTGTCACAATCATATGCCACAGTTTGTTCAGCCATTCCCCAATTGATGGGCATCTCCTCAATTTCCAGTTCATTGCCACCACTAAAAGAGCTGCTATAAATATATTTGTACATATTTCTTTCCCCCTTCCCTGGCCTCCCCCTCTTTTTTTTTTTTTTTTAATCTCTTTGGGATATAGAACTAGCAGTGGGATTGGTGGATGAAAGGGCATGCACAGTTTTATAGCCCTTTAGGCATCATTCCAAATTACTCTCCAGAATTGTTGAATCAGTTCATAATTCCATCAAGAGTGCATTAATAAGAGTGCCCCAGTTTTCCAATATCCCTGCCAACATTTATCATTTTCCTTTTCTGTCATATTAGCCAATCTGATATGTGTGAGGTAGTACCTCAGAGTTGTTTTAATTTGCATCTCTACTCAATAGTGATTTAGAGCATTTGGCTACAGATAGCTTTGATTTCTTCTTCTGAAAACTCTGTTCATATCCTTTGACATATATCAATTGGGGAATGATTCATTTCTTTTAAATTTGACTCAGTTCTGAATATATTTGAGAGATGAGGCCTTTGTTAGAGAAACTTATTATAAATTTTTTTCTTCTAGTTTTCTGCTTCCCTTCAGATATTGGCTACATTGGTTTTGTTTGTGCAAATACTTTAATTTAATCAGACTGATCCTTTTTATTTCCTGTAATGCTTTATCTTTTCTTTGTTCATAAATTCTTCCATTATTCATAGATCTGACAGGTAAAATATTCCGTGCTCCCACGTTTTCTTATGATATCACCTTTTATGTCTAAATCATCTACCCTCTTTGACCTTATCTTGGTATATGGTATAAGATGTTGGTCTGTATCTACTTTTTGCCAAACCGCTTTCCAGTTTTCCCAGCCATCTTTATCAGATAATGGATTCTTGTCTCTTATTATGTTTATCAAGCACTAGATTTCTGTGGTCATTTACTACTGTGTACTGTGTACCTCATCTCTTCCACTGATCCACCATTGTCTTTCTTAGCCAGTACCAGATTGTTTTGCTGATTACCACTTTATAATACAGTTTGAGATCTGATATAGTTAGGCCATGTTAATTTACAATTTTTTTCAGTAATTCCCTTGATATTCTTAACCTTTGTTCTTCCAGATGAATTTTGTTATTTTTTCTAGCTCTATAAAATAATTTTTTGGTAGTATGATTGGGATGGCACTGAATAAGTAAATTAATTTAGGTAGAATTTTCATTTTTACTGTATTGGCTTGACCTATTCATGAGCAAGTGATATTTTTCAAATTTGTTTAGATCTGACTTTATTTGTGTCAAAAATGTTTTGTAAAATCATTCCCTAATTAATAAATGGTCAAAGGATATGAACAAACAGTTGTCAGATGAAGAAATTAAAGCTATCTTTAGTCATAAGAAAAAAAGCTCTAAATCACTATTGATTAGAGAAATACAAATCAAAACAACTCTGAGGTACCATATCACATCTATCAGATTGGCCAACATGCTAAAACAGGAAAATGATAAATGTTGGAGAAGGTGTGGGAAAATTGAAACACTAATGCATTGTTGGTGGAGTTGTGAAATGATCCAACCATTTTGGAGAGCAATTTGGAACTGCACCCAAAGGGCTATAAAAATGTGCATACCCTTTGACCCAGCAATAGCACTTCTAGGGTTGTATCCCAAAGAGATCATAAAAATGGTAAAAGGACCCACATGTACAAAAATATTTATAGCAGCTCTGGAAGTAGGCATATTGATAGCAAGAAGTGATTGCTACCACTGTGTTGACAAGGCACCATCCTCACAACGACGCTGGTGTGAGGTAGTCAGGACATCATTCCCATTTTACAGAAAGGGAAAGGAAATGAGCCTCAGAGGTCAAGTGACTTGCCTCCTGTAGTGTGAGAGCTAAGACTCAAACCCATGTCTTCTGACTCCCAGT